TTAGCGCTTCTTGTGGTAATGAGGGGGGGGGGGGCCTCCGTGGGCTTAATCTCTATTGAAAATGTTGCAGACAGTTCTCAAATCAACGTCAGGTTAAGTCAGATTTTTTGCAGATCGGGTTTCAAGTTCAGAGGGGTCGTTTGAATTATATTATTTTGTGTAATCAATTGAAATGCATTTGTGTGTGATCTATATGTTTTATGACTTAATGCTCAGAGATTTATTAATCAAAGAGCTCTTTATTATTTTCAGGTGTGTCGTGTGTTTAATATTGTATATTTGTAGGTTAGGGGACGCTCTTCACACGGTAACCCCATTGTCTCAGGAGTTCGAGAATCTCTTACTTAAGTCTTACTTTACTTAAGTAAGTCTTACTTTATTCAGGGCCTTTATTACAAAAATCGAACATATAACACAATTTATTAAACATAAATCTTTATTAACTAGCAGTAGAGAAACCACAGGTGTATAATCTTACTCAATTGTTGCCTTGTCAACAGACTTGGAAAAGATAGAAAAGTGTAATGGCATGAAATTAAGTTACCTTGAAGCAAAAACTAAGGACAAAAATAACTAAGAGAGAGAGCTTTACTACAAACTTAACTACAACCAAAAGAACTTAACGACCACAGTACGAAAATTAAATTAGCGATACAGAATAGTTCCCCTCAACCAGTGACGTCACATGTTGCCACATAACTGGCTTTCACCATACAACAATCATACACCCCAGTCTGATATATCTATGTAACAGAACACCTGCCTGCCTGTCTGTCTGTATGGGGTTAGAGGCCAGACGCTTGTTGCTAGCCTCACCCAACTTTACAGGGTCAATAGTCTGGGGTATGGGACGAACATAGACTGGTCGGATATTAAAAGGGGCTCGGCACAAATAGACACCCCCCCCCTCCGTACCCAAGAAGTTGGTGAAGGGTGCTAGTCTAGTCCATAGATTTCTTCACAGTGAACGTGAATTTAAAATCAGATAAGCGGAAACAGGAAGAGAAGGAAGGATAAGGAAAACCGGATGTATAAAGTAGGAAGGAGAGAGGGAGAGATAGGTGGTGGTGAGTGAGGGAGAGGAGAGTGGGGGAGAAGATTGGTGCGAGAAGGGAGGGGAGAGAGTGTGAGAGGGGACAGAGTGTGAGAGGGGAAGGAGGGAATTGGGGGGAAGTGGGAGAGGGGAGATATTTAGAGGAAGGAGGGGAGGAAGAGAGCGGCGAGAGGGGGATCTAGGGGAAGAATGGGGAGATGAGAGAAGGGTAAGATTATGAGAAAGGGGGGAGTGGGGAAGGGGAAGGAGAGACCCGGGCCAGGCCGGGAACCTCCTAGATTCCTAGAAAACATATAAATCCACAGCAAAACAGAAGCACATGACGCCAAATACATATAGAGTATAACAGCTTAAACCAGGTGGCTGGCAAGATGGCGCCTGAACACAAGATGGCGCCTGAACACAAGATGGCGCCTGAACACAAGATGGCGCCTGAACACAAGATGGCGCCTGAACACAAGATGGTGCCTGAACACAAGATGGTGCCTGAACACAAGATGGCGCCTGAACACAAGATGGCGCCTGAACACAAGATGGCGCCTGAACACAAGATGGCGCCTGAACACAAGATGGCGCCTGAACACAAGATGGCGCCAGAACACAAGATGGCGCCAGAACACAAGATGGCGCCTGAACACAAGATGGCGCCTGAACACAAGATGGCGCCTGAACACAAGATGGCGCCTGAACACAAGATGGCGCCTGAACACAAGATGGCGCCTGAACACAAGATGGCGCCTGAACACAAGATGGCGCCTGAACACAAGATTGCGCCTGAACACAAGATGGCGCCTGAACACAAGATGGCGCCTGAACACAAGATGGCGCCTGAACACAAGATGGCGCCAGAACACAAGATGGCGCCAGAACACAAGATGGCGCCTGAACACAAGATGGCGCCTGAACACAAGATGGCGCCTGAACACAAGATGGCGCCTGAACACAAGATGGCGCCTGAACACAAGATGGCGCCTGAACACAAGATACGGACATCAAGTACACCCACAACAACAGTCAACCCCACATCAAGTACACCCACAACACCAGTCAACCCCACATCAAGTACACCCACAACACCAGTCAACCCCACATCAAGTACACCCACAACAACAGTCAGCCCCACATCAAGTACACCCACAACACCAGTCAACCCCACATCAAGTACACCCACAACAACAGTCAACCCCACATCAAGTACACCCACAACAGTCAACCCCACATCAAGTACACTCACAGCAACAGACAACCCCACATCAAGTACACTCACAGCAACAGTCAACCCCACATCAAGTACACCCACAACACCAGTCAACCCCACATCAAGTACACTCACAACAGTCAACCCCACATCAAGTACACCCACAACACCAGTCAGCCCCACATCAAGTACACCCACAACAACAGTCAACCCCACATCAAGTACACCCACAACAGTCAACCCCACATCAAGTACACTCACAACAACAGTCAACCCCACATCAAGTACACTCACAACAACAGTCAACCCCACATCAAGTACACTCATAACAACAGTCAACCCCACATCAAGTACACCCACAACAGTCAACCCCACATCAAGTACACTCACAACAACAGTCAACCCCACATCAAGTACACTCACAACAACAGTCAACCCCACATCAAGTACACTCACAACAACAGTCAACCCCACATCAAGTACACTCACAGCAACAGACAACCCCACATCAAGTACACTCACAGCAACAGACAACCCCACATCAAGTACACTCACAGCAACAGACAACCCCACATCAAGTACACCCACAACACCAGTCAACCCCACATCAAGTAAACCCACAACACCAGTCAACCCCACATCAAGTACACTCACAGCAACAGACAACCCCACATCAAGTACACTCACAACAACAGTCAACCCCACATCAAGTAAACCCACAACAACAGTCAACCCCACATCAAGTACACCCACAACACCAGTCAACCCCACATCAAGTACACCCACAACACCAGTCAACCCCACATCAAGTAAACCCACAACACCAGTCAACCCCACATCAAGTACACTCACAACAACAGTCAACCCCACATCAAGTACACTCACAACAACAGTCAACCCCACATCAAGTACACTCACAACAGTCAACCCCACATCAAGTACACTCACAACAACAGTCAACCCCACATCAAGTACACTCACAGCAACAGACAACCCCACATCAAGTACACTCACAGCAACAGACAACCCCACATCAAGTACACCCACAACACCAGTCAACCCCACATCAAGTACAGTATGTCTCTAATTAAACTATGGAACTGACGTTGCATGTGAGCTTGTGAATATGACAAATATGTTAGAGCCTTGTGCTCTGAGGCTCTAACATAATTCCCACATTAAATACAGCACGAAATAACACGATACAATTTCACACACACACACAATCCACACATGAACTGAACGTGAACATGTTTCGGCATGAAACAAAGATGAAGGTTCACACTTGAGAAGGTTCAAAGATGAACCTTCTCAAGTCGTCTATAGAAGGACTGGTACCTGTAGATAGTCAATATAAGGCAAGGGGGCAAGGTTAATATAAAGAGAGAAGGTTAGAAATACTATTATCCTTAATTTCTTACCTTCTTAATGAGCCTTGTGTAGTCTTAAAACTACACATTGCCCATTGACAGAAAGACGTGGTACAGACGCATAGAAGATACAGGTTCAGAAAAGAACAAGTGAGAACACAGAGGAACGATACACTAGGTCAGATCTTGCTTGCTAGGAAGATTGGAAGGTTTAACAATGTGTTGAGAAGGACCGGAATCCACAGCAACACAGCCAGGACTAAGTTGAGTGTTGGCGTGCTGTCTGTGCGAGCCTCTTCAACACGACCGCGTCTGTGAAGACCAGCGCGAAGAAGAAATACTCTGACAAAAGACCAGACATCCAATCTTCTTCCAAAATACTTTTTTCGACTACAGTGGAAGGCTGAAATCGTTATTTTCAGCCACGTTGTGGCGGCATACTTTCTCCAAATTACATATTTATTAGTTCAGAAAAAAACAAAATACCCAAACATAAGGGGAGAGACAACCATGATCTGTTTCAACACACGAATGTGGTGTTTATATATTTGTAGGGTGATGGAGGCCAGAGTGAACATACCAGCTATAATGTGTAGGGTGATGGAGGCCAGAGTGAATATATCGGCTATAATGTGTAGGGTGATGGAGGCCAGAGTGAACATACCGGCTATAATGTGTAGGGTGATGGAGGTCAGAGTGAACATACCGGCTATAATGTGTAGGGTGATGGAGGCCAGAGTGAACATACCGGCTATAATGTGTAGGGTGATGGAGGCCAGAGTGAACATACCGGCTATAATGTGTAGGGTGATGGAGGCCAGAGTGAACATACCGGCTATAATGTGTAGGGTGATGGAGGCCAGAGTGAACATACCGGCTATAATGTGTAGGGTGATGGAGGCCAGAGTGAACATACCGGCTATAATGTGTAGGGTGATGGAGGCCAGAGTGAACATACCGGCTATAATGTGTAGGGTGATGGAGGCCAGAGTGAACATACCGGCTATAATGTGTAGGGTGATGGAGGCCAGAGTGAACATACCGGCTATAATGTGTAGGGTGATGGAGGCCAGAGTGAACATACCGGCTATAATGTGTAGGGTGATGGAGGCCAGAGTGAACATACCGGCTATAATGTGTAGGGTGATGGAGGCCAGAGTGAACATACCGGCTATAGTGTGTAGGGTGATGGAGGCCAGAGTGAATATATCGGCTATAATGTGTAGGGTGATGGAGGCCAGAGTGAATATATCGGCTATAATGTGTAGGGTGATGGAGGCCAGAGTGAATATATCGGCTATAATGTGTAGGGTGATGGAGGCCAGAGTGAACATACCGGCTATAATGTGTAGGGTGATGGAGGCCAGAGTGAACATACCGGCTATAATGTGTAGGGTGATGGAGGCGGGCCTGGCGTTGGCTGGCACACACGTGTAATTGCCAGAATCTGTGCGTCCCACAGCGGCCAGGGTGAGGATGCTGCCATCTCGCGTCTTCCTCACAGAAACCTGCAAGGTAAATACATCCCAACATGAGATACTCTTGCATATATGACTCCTAATTGCAGGTGTGAGGATGCTGCAGCAGCTGTGTGGACGCTGCAGCAGCTGTGAGGAAGCTTCAGCAGCTGTGAGGAAGCTTCAGCAGCTGTGAGGAAGCTTCAGCAGCTGTGAGGAAGCTTCAGCAGCTGTGAGGAAGCTTCAGCAGCTGTGAGGAAGCTTCAGCAACTGTGAGGACGCTTCAGCAGCTGTGAGGAAGCTTCAGCAGCTGTGAGGAAGCTTCAGCAGCTGTGAGGAAGCTTCAGCAGCTGTGAGGAAGCTTCAGCAGCTGTGAGGAAGCTTCAGCAGCTGTGAGGAAGCTTCAGCAGCTGTGAGGAAGCTTCAGCAGCTGTGAGGAAGCTTCTGCAGCTGTGAGGAAGCTTCAGCACCTATGAGGAAGCTTCAACAGCTGTGAGTGCTGCTACAGTCGTGAGTGAGGGCAATCACCCGAAAGAAAATCAATTCTCCAGGTGATCGTCTAAAGATCTTTACCAACAAACTTACTAATCCCTAATTATGTGAAGTCGTGGAAACCCTTAACTAGTCTTCCATCCAGTCATCAAACAACCGGAATCTCTTTATTAAAGCATTCAGACATTTTACCACAAAAAAATAAATTAAAGTCTTGTTGATCATTAGAGATATAACGACTTGTAAGTGGCGTGTTGGCAGTGGTGAAGTATTACAAGTTGGCTACCAATTACCTAGCCACAAATTATGATTATATGAGTTGAACAAAATTAGCATAGTGCTACACTGTATTTTGATTATATTAAATGTCTTACCTAAAGCAACATGCAATTAGTAACCGGCAAGCATGCGCAGTTGTACATCCTAGAGCCAAGAGAGTTAACTAAATAGAAGCCCAGGACTAGGCTGCAGTATATATATATATATATATATATATATATATATATATATATATATATATATATATATATATATATATATATATATATATATATATATATATATATATACATATATATATATATATATATATAATATGTATATATATAATATGTATATATATATATACATATATATATATATATATATATATATATGTATATATATATATTACGCTTCACTGTTGGAGGTAAATCAAAAATCAATTCTCCAAAATTCATTTTTATTTCTAGTCTGACGCGACACGGGCGCGTTTCGTAAAACTTATTACATTTTCAAAGACTTTAGTTCACAAATACACAACTGAATAGAACTTACGTATCTCCGATTTTATATCTACATTTGAGTGAGGTGGAAGGGGTGATGTGGCATTAACACAAGACAGAACAAAATGTGGTATTAATAGGGTATTAATTTCATCAACACAAGACAGAACAAGAGTATTAATAGGGTATTAATTTCATCAACACAAGACAGAACACGAAGCAATGGATATTGAATAGAAGTGTTTGTAGAAAGCCTATTGGTCCATATTTCTTGATGCTTCTATATTGGAGCGGAGTCTTGAGGTGGGTAGAATATAGTTGTGCAATAATTGGCTGTTGATTGCTGGTGTTGACTTCTTGATGTGTAGTGCCTCGCAAACGTCAAGCCGCCTGCTATCGCTGTATCTATCGATGATTTCTGTGTTGTTTACTAGGATTTCTCTGGCGATGGTTTGGTTGTGGGAAGAGATTATATGTTCCTTAATGGAGCCCTGTTGCTTATGCATCGTTAAACGCCTAGAAAGAGATGTTGTTGTCTTGCCTATATACTGGGTTTTTTAGAGCTTACAGTCCCCAAGTGGGCATTTGAAGGCATAGACGACGTTAGTCTCTTTTAAAGCGTTCTGTTTTGTGTCTGGAGAGTTTCTCATGAGTAGGCTGGCCGTTTTTCTGGTTTTATAGTAAATCGTCAGTTGTATCCTCTGATTTTTGTCTGTAGGGATAACGTTTCTATTAACAATATCTTTCAGGACCCTTTCCTCCGTTTTATGAGCTGTGGAAAAGAAGAAAAAGTACCCGCATTGAACAACACCTCGACATCCTCACAGACCAACATCACCTCAGCACTGAAACAAGGATTATCAAGAAACTAACAACATTATATGGAGGACCTATGGCAATTCCACGACCAAGAGATGGCTTCCTGAACCTTGCAGGAATTAACCTCACTGAGGACCAAGTCACTCTCCTAAATCTGGGCATAAACTGTCATGTTATGTCCAGACCGAATGAGATGGCCCGGAAAGTAGAGTTGGAAATTCTGTTGGACGACATATTCGACCTCGAGAAACAAAAGAAGGTCACTACCAAAGATACCTTACAAGCAGAACTTATTGCAGAAGGAGGAAAGAATCGAGGCAACTACAGAAGCACCATTCTGTCCCCCGAGCTTAAAGCGGCAGCTAAAAGCCTTCGTGAGAACAAGGAGATAGTTGTCAGGAGAGGTGACAAGTCGCCAATATATGTCATTCTTAAAAAAGACGAATATCTGGCGAAAATGAACATCATACTCTCTGACCAAACTAAGTTCCAAAGGGTAACGAAGGACACTACAGCCGAATTAAAAGCAAAGGTCAACAAACTGATCGAAACAGTGAACGCCAAGAAATCCGGACTCCACCTGCCAAAGATCATTGGGGAATATAAACCTGGATATGCGTATGGAAATGTCAAGACGCACAAGCCTGGAAACCCACTTCGGCCAATCATTAGCCAGATACCCACACCCACGTACAGACTGGCGAAGCGACTCAACGGCCTGCTGACTCCTTATGTTCCTTGCGCCTTCAGCCTGAAGTCTCCAAAGGAATTTGTTGACTTACTGCGGGGCACACGGGCCACAGGGATAAGAGCCTCGTTGGACGTAGAATCGCTGTTTACCAACGTACCTGTGGACGAGACAATCGGAATGATAGCCGACAGAGTGTATCGTGATCCAGCCTGTACTCCTCTTGACATACCAGAAAATATTCTGAGGAAACTACTCCAAGCTTGTACTAAAGAGGCACCCTTCTTGAGCCCGGATGGGCACATGTATAAGCAAGTAGATGGGGTCGCCATGGGTTCTCCCCTAGGTGTCCTGTTTGCAAACTTCTACATGGGTACCATCGAGCAAAAAGTCTTAGTCGACATGAACTTGAAACCGGCCATATACTGCAGGTATGTTGACGACATTTTTACACAGGTACCTGATGTCAGACATCTGCAGGAGCTGAAGGAGGCATTTGAGCAGAGTTCCGTGCTGCGTTTCACTTACGAGACGGAAAAGGATGGGAAGCTGCCCTTTCTAGATGTAACAGTCATGGAAAAGGGCGGAGGTTTCCACACTGCAGTCTACACTAAGGAAACAAACATAGGAATGTGCCTAAATGCCAACAGCGACTGCCCAGACAGGTACAAGAGGAGTGTTGTTAACACATATGTCGACCGTGCTCTCAGCCACAGCTCAGAATGGAAGCAAGTCGACGAAGAACTCTGTAGGGTAAGGCAGGTCCTAGTCAATAACGGCTTCTCCAATGGTTTCGTCGAAGACATCATAAGAAGGAAAGTGAAAAGCCATGCAACCTCTGAAGAGACAACTAACACAACATCTATACCCCCTATTAGACTATTTTACAGGAACTTCTTTTCCACAGCTCATAAAACGGAGGAAAGGGTCCTGAAAGATATTGTTAATAGATACGTTATCCCTACAGACAAAAATCAGAGGATACAACTGACGATTTACTATAAAACCAGAAAAACGGCCAGCCTACTCATGAGAAACTCTCCAGACACAAAACAGAACGCTTTAAAAGAGACTAACGTCGTCTATGCCTTCAAATGCCCACTTGGGGACTGTAAGCTCCAAAAAACCCAGTATATAGGCAGGACAACAACATCTCTTTCTAGGCGTTTAACGATGCATAAGCAACAGGGCTCCATTAAGGAACATATAATCTCTTCCCACAACCAAACCATCGCCAGAGAAATCCTAGTAAACAACACAGAAATCATCGATAGATACAGCGATAGCAGGCGGCTTGACGTTTGCGAGGCACTACACATCAAGAAGTCAACACCAGCAATCAACAGCCAATTATTGCACAACTATATTCTACCCACCTCAAGACTCCGCTCCAATATAGAAGCATCAAGAAATATGGACCAATAGGCTTTCTACAAACACTTCTATTCAATATCCATTGCTTCGTGTTCTGTCTTGTGTTGATGAAATTAATACCCTATTAATACTCTTGTTCTGTCTTGTGTTGATGAAATTAATACCCTATTAATACCACATTTTGTTCTGTCTTGTGTTAATGCCACAACACCCCTTCCACCTCACTCAAATGTAGATATAAAATCGGAGATACGTAAGTTCTATTCAGTTGTGTATTTGTGAACTAAAGTCTTTGAAAACGTAATAAGTTTTACGAAACGCGCCCGTGTCGCGTCAGACTAGAAATAAAAATGAATTTTGGAGAATTGATTTTTGATTTACCTCCAACAGTGAAGCGTAATGTACGAAAGATTGAGAAAATTCGTGTTAGAATTATTAATCTTACTTTTTCGGTCATATTTAATAATATATGTCTACAGGAAAGACTGCTACCAAAATATACTAATATATATATATATGTATATGTATATGTATATATATATATATATATATATATATATATATATATATATATATATATATATGTATATATATATAAATATATATGTATATATATAAATATATATGTATATATATGTATATATATATAAATATATATGTATATATATGTATATATATAAATATATATGTATATATATGTATATATATAAATATATATGTATATATATGTATATATATAAATATATATGTATATATATATATATATATATATATATGTATATATATATATATATATATATATATATATATATATATATATATATATATATATATATATATATATATATATATATATATATATATATATATATATATATATATATATATATATATATATATATATATATATATAT